ACAAGGTCTTGCTAGGTTGCCCAGGCTAGTCTCAAACTCCAGGTCTCAAGCCGTCTTCCCCTCCACATCCTCGGCCTCCCAAAGTGTTGGGATTACAGGCATGAGCCACTATTCCCGGCCAGTTGCTTTTCTTTCTTATCAAGACGTTATTTTGAATATTTTCTTCTCATACCCCTGGGGGTGAGTATGCCTCCTTGCAGAGCTGTTAACTAGAGCACACTGGGTTCCTTGAGAAGAAAGGAAGGAAGTATTATAAGGCTCAGAGGAACCTGTCTGCTCAACCAACGTAAACACTGGCTGCTCCAGTGATGGGGATTCGTTGTAAGGAGGTCTTGGAGAAGAGAGGAAGCCCAGAAAATGGTCTCGGCTGCTCTACAACTGTGCCGTATGGCTCTTCATCATCAAACAACTCTGGTGTCCCCAAAGCAGGTCTGATCATTGTCCCCTGAGCTCCTAACCAGTCACCCCACCATTCCTGAGACCCAGCATCTCAGTCTCTTCCACCTCTAGTTCTCAATGCCGCTTTGAGCCACGCCCCCATCTCTCTATTTCTGCCTCCCTCTCCCTCTCCCCATGCCATTTCTTCCCTCTTCTTCATGGCTTCTTCCTGCCACCTTCTCTCTGGGCTATGTCCGTCCCATCTATTTCTCACATTCTGACTTCCTAAGAGAGATAATCTATTTGGACAAGTCACTGCCCAGAAAGACAGTGCCGTCTGCTGGCATGGCCTGCAGTCAGCCAGTGGAAGGGGCGCTGGTCTCTCGACCTGGCAGTGGCGGCCCAGGTGTCAGAGTACCTGATTCCCTTTGCTCCTGCTTTCCTCAGGGGAGAGGCAGTAGGAGAGACAAGTGCCCAGAGTATCACGTTCCCTGCAGGACAGTGTACAAAGATGCTCACCACAGTGTCCATTGCAATAGTGAGGAAGTGGAAAGCATTATGCGTTGGTTGATGTGAGTTGCTGTTGGCTGAGCGTAGGAGCGGAGAGCTGGAGGTAGTTGGTGTGGAGCAGCTGTCCAGAGTCTAGAGTTGTGGGTTCCAATCCTGGCTCAGCCACTTGCCACTTTGGTCCTCAGTTTCTTCGTCTACGAGATAATAATGTGTGCCTCATAAGATTCTTAAAGGGGTTAAATAAGAGTATGTAAAATGACCTGAGTAGGGCCTCACTGACAGGTTAGATGGTTTTTCTGTTCACTCTAAAATATGTTGACTCCAGATGAATTTTTTAGAAAAGAATGACAACAATAATAATAATGTGAATTTCATTTCTTTTCAAGTGTTTCTGTTCGGGTAGAGAATTAGAGAAGTTTCTCTCTTCTCCTTCCGTAAGAGCCATCTGGCTGGATAGCTTTTGGTGGATATTTCATGAGAGGTACCAGGTAAATACAGATCTGCTTGTTTCTCTGCCTTGCTTGTTTTTCTACAGAACAAATTCCATTCTCTTTGACCTGGGCTACAAGCCCCTCTGATCCCATGGAGCACGCGGCCACCTCACCTGTCACCTGGTCCCCTCCCCACCTGTGCTTCAGCCAAACACCCTCTGCTTCAGCCATTGCACAGTATCCTGCAGCACCCCCAGGTGTTAGGAGTTGGTGGCATGGCTGTCACAGGTGGGGTTGAGAGCAGTCCTCAGGGCTTCTGGGCCAGCATTATGGTGCTGTCTTCAACAGCGCTCTGCCTCTGTGTATGTGCTTGGTAAATCTCATCCCCAAAATGAGCATGTTATTTCATAAAGCATATGAGGCAGCCTGGTGTAGTGGCTCACACCTGTAATTCCAGCACTTTGGAAGGCCAAGGTGAGTGGATCACCTGAAGTCAGGAGTTCAAGACCAGCCTGGCCAACATGGGGAAACCCTGTCTCTACTAAAAATACAAAAAATTAGCTGGGCATGGTGATGGGCACCTGTAATCCCAGCTACTCAGGAGGCTGAAGCAGGAGAATCACTTGAACCCAAGAGTTGGAGGTTGCAGTGAGCCAAGATTATACCATTGTACTCCAGCCTGGGCAACAGAGCCAGACTCCATCTCAAAAACAAACAAAACGACCACATGAGGCTAAATATCTTGAGAATAAGATTCCTGGAAATGAAAGCAATACTGATTTTAAAAATCCCAGCCCCTCAGTTGTTTCAGCAAGGGATTTTAGTAATTCCTTTTTTATTTCTATTCCTGGCAGCCAAACAAGGAGCTCCAGAATAATCTGTTCGACCGGATAGCCCAGCACTATGCCTTACTTTTGTTTCATGTACCCAAGTCCCACTATGAAGAGGCACTCATAAAAGTGAGCATCAGCCACTACATGAAAAAAAGTCACATTAGATTTCATTTCTGATGCCAAGAGAATGTCTTAAACATTCTTTCCATAAGGGAGTAATTAGCAAATTGTGATAATCCATAGACTGACTTGGAATGCAGAAGTTACAAAAATACCATGGAGCTATTTATACTGATTGGGAGATGCAATGATATATTTAAGTGAAAAACAAAGCAATTTATACAATTCTATGTGATATATATATGTATATGTATATGTGCATATGAATAGAAAAAAAAACGTGGAAAAATATTTACCAAACTCTTTGCAATGCTTATCACTGGGAAGTCAGGTTATAAGAACCTTTCCCTTTCCATTTATTTATTTATTTAGAGAAGAGTCTCACTCTGTTGCCCAGGCTGGAGTGCAATAGCACAATCTTGACTCACTGCAACCTCTGCCTTCTGGGTTCAAGTGATTCTTCTGCCTCAGCCTTCTGAGTAGCTGGGATTACAGGCATATACCACCACACCCAGCTAATTTTGTTTTTAGTAGAGACAGGGTTTCCCCATGTTGGCCAGGTTCGTCTCAAGCTCCTGACTTCAAGTGATCTGCCTGCCTCAGCCTCCCAAAGTGCCGGGAATACAGGTGTGAGCCACTGCACCTGGCCTCCCTTTCCATTTTATGTTTTTCTGTAGTATTTAAATAAGCATGTAATTTAAAAATTAAAAATGTGACCATACATATATACTTTTTATATGGGTATATATGTATGTATATATGTACTAAAAGGATTGCTAGGAGAAAATATAAGTGAATACTTACATGATTTGGAGCTGAGGAAGGACTTTGTTTTTTTTCTTTTTTTTCTCTAGAGACAGAGTCTGGCTTTGTTGCCAGGGTGGTACAATCATAACTCACTGTAGCCTCAAATTCCTGTGTTTGAACAATCCCCCTCCTCAGCCTCCTGAGTAGCTTTGACTACAGGCATGTGTCACCTCTCCTAGCTAATTTCTCTCTTTCTTTTTTTTTTTTTTTT